TTACTTTATCTCTTTTTCAGGTAATGGATGTGAATACCACACTGTACGATGCTGTGGATGGCCTAATTGTGTATATTCTGGGAAGCAGACGCGACGATGCCAGATACAGAGATCATGAGGCCCTTACTAAGATTGTTACTATCAACAAATGCAGTGACCCTGTAATTTCCCAAATTTGTAATGAACTGACTATATTTTCTGCAAAATTGGTCTGCGAACAGTATGAATTGAGCAAAAAACCATCACCAGACCCTGACCGGTATCAAGCAACAAAAAAGTCTTGTACTTGTGCATTTTTGAAAATTTGGGGTATAACTTGCCGGCACATAATGCGCTTCAGAAAAGATTCAGGTGAGTTAGCTGTTGATAAATAGCAGATCACTTATTGATTGACTGTATTTTAATTGCTTCAATACATTTTTCAGGAATTGCTCAGTATGATTTGGAGTTGATTCCGAAGAGGTGGAGGAAGGAATTTAATTTGAGTCACTCAAATGTTGCTGGTCCAGCTAGGATCGAGGTAGCTGAAGGAAATTCAATACTGAAGCCAAGAATGCCTGCCAAACGGGTTAGTGATTTTCTCGGGCCCAGGGAAAAGTTCCTCAAAGCAGCTGAACTAACTCAGAGTATCAATCCCTTGCTTGTTGATGTTGGCACAAAGATACATTATGAACGTTACCAGTTACTTACTGACCTTTGTGAGGCCTGGAAAGCTGGGACGGAAGTACAATTACTCCATCAGAACAAACCACATTCTCATAAAGGTATGCATACGATGGTTTTTCAATGTGATTATGTCTATCACTTTGAAGCAGCCATCCCACTTATACTCCTAAAATATCATTTTTTTGGCATGTTACAGATGTTATTGAAGATGGTGATACCTCAGAGACAGGTGAGCCAGACATTCTTCCCAAAACTATTATTGTCTTGTCTGGATGTTTATATTTATATGTATCTAATCTTGTTACAGCTCCCTTCAAGCTCAACTCTGTCAAGATTGTAGGCCACCCTAAGGGCATTGGTGAAACTGTACATGATGGTACCAAGAAAAAAGGTAATTGTTATAATACCATGTTATGTTTCCCCCCTACTTGCTGCACTTTCTTTCTAACCTTTTCAAACTGAAATTCTTCAGGTACATCAAAAGCAAAAGCCAAGGTCAAAGCTCAAATTAATGAAGCAGGGAAAACTCAATGCTGCTGTTCATGTGGGCTTGAGGCTGGTGAGCACTTCTGTATCCACTGCAAAAAAGTGGTACATGCAATTGAGCCATGCTCAGTAGCTGCTCCAAATGCTCCAGAAAACTATGGGCAGCCAAGAATTTGTGCTGATTGTGGAGGTACAGATTTTGGCCAATCATTAGTGTCTCTGCACTTTTCTCATTGTTGCCTAAATTTATTGCAAATTTCAGGACTTGAGGATGATGTAGCATCAACAAAGTCAAGCAACGGGAGTGTTCTCTCAACAATGTTAACAGTTCCAAGTGGCGTTCCAAGTGGCAACCCAAGAACCGAGTCCAATTCTGGTTCACAAGCAGGATCAGGTACTGAGAGTTAAGATCTGCTTATAGAATTACCCTATGAGGTGTCCTTTCTGACTGGTTTCGTGCATTTATTCAGATGAAGAAACACTTGAAACAAATCAGGGTAGAACTTTGCAAAGGTATAACTGCTGTTGTAGCTGTGGCATGGAAATGGAAGGGCACCATTGCAGTTTATGTGATGAGTTGGTTCATGATGTTGAGCCTTGCTCATACAAAGATTTTCACCCGGATAGGTTCAATTCCGAGGGGCGACTTTGTGCTGGCTGTGAAGGTATGATTTTGCCAAATCTGTAGTTCCCTTCCCTTTCCTGGTTGTTTTCTTATCTAAGTCATTTTCAGGCAGGGGTGATTTGAAGCCATTTACCAAAAGCCTCCCTGACAATGTGTCTGAAATCATAATCATCAGTGACAGTGAGCCAGAAATTGAGAACGGGAATGACAACAAGCAGCAGGCAATTGAAGCAGATCTGTTTGCTGATGAAGAATGGTCAGGCGTGGGCTTCGATTTAAGTGAATTCCTTTATCTCAATAAAGATGGGGAAACTGACACGGTTCAGAATGTGTCAGAGACTGAGCCTGTTGATGAATCTAATATAGAAGCTACAAACAGTAATCAGCAAACGAGGACTGAGGTTACAAACGGAGGCTCCACAAATAATCCCAGGAATAGTGAAAATTATGGAGGTGATGTCAACTTAAATTTTCTCTTCTGTCTGCAATTTTATTTTGTTAAGTGGTTTTTTGTTGTTTTTTTGCAATGTAATGTGTTTTTCTTACAGATACTGCCTTTGTGCTCGATGTTGTTCAAACCAAAGGGCGTCCAAAAACAACAACACGAAAAAGTAAATTATATTTTAAATTGCCCTTGGCTCACAGGTTTACTGAATGTTTTCCGTTATACTCTTTGATTGCATTTATAATATTGCTTCCTGATTACAGCTGTCCGAAGTTGGAACTTTACCGCTGTTGCAGACAAGCCTGAGGATATGTGCTGCATTTGTGAAAAAAGTGGTGCAGCAGAGAAATGTCAGAAGTGTCAAAGCACTGTCCACTCTTCCCTTCCTTGTTCATTGGATGACAAGGGTCCAGAAAAGGGGAGAATTTGCAATTTCTGCTGTGGTGAGTCCTGTATCTATCTATCTAATTTCTCCCGGTGCTGTGTTTTTTATCTACCTAAATTACCCTTACTATAGCCGGCAATGCATTTCAGATTACAGGATTACTGATGCTGAGAGAAAAAGCAAGGACCCCAAAAAGCCACCATACTACTGCTTTGGATGCAACTATTTAATGAAAATGTTGGTAGATTGGAGATTGGTTACTGCAACTAATAATTTTACATAGTCTCATGGAGAGATAATAATTAACTTGTTTACTGCTTAGGTTCATAGCCAAGAATCCCAAGCAACCCAGCAGGAAGGGGGCTGCATATTATGGGTGCCTGAAGAAATTAACTGAGGAGTGCAAGCCATTTAAGTTTTGGGCATCAAAACAGGACACTAACCAGGACAGCAAGATGGGTATGTGAAATGTCTTTGCCTTCAAGTTATATTTGATGCTCTTATTTTACAAGCTGTATTTTTGACATTTCTATCTGATTGTTTTTTAATGATATTTTTGTTATTGACTCAATTTAATTGCTGTTCGCAGCTCCAAAACTCAATTTCATACACAAGTTTGCAAATCATTTTTACATGCATTTCAAAAGTAGCTATGAAAAATATTTGTTACTGTCTATCATAGTAAGTTTCTTTTTGAACTGATGCAGAGGATTTTTTCCTATTGCTTTCCACAATTATGGTCCTGAAATGATTTGTGGTACTGCTAAATCTCCATTTATTTATACATACAAGTAACTTCTATAAACACAAAGCAGGGACAGGTGATGAGTCCAGGGGTGATTGATTCTAATTTGTCATCAGTCATCAAGTAGTCAAGTACTGGTCATCACAGTATCATAGACTCTTTTGGTTTTCATTTTTTCTATCATTTGCATCTACCATAGCCCAAATTCTTTTTGACTGCAACTTGATGTGTGTTAAACATTGTCCTAAGGACAGAAGCTGATCATTGTCAGGGCTCTCCAAAACGGCCCTTATGAGGGCCTAAAGAAACCTCCATTCTTCTGGTGGTCCATGCAAGTATGTCCAAGCCTCATTTGCCTCTATCTCATTCTTCTCTTGTCATTTCTCTTCAGACTGCATCTTCATTTGAAACTTCGGGAGTGTCACATGTTGCAAGGCAATCCAACTTCTATTTTCCTCCGTGGGATTCTGCTCTTTTTGTAACTCCTCTGAAATCCTATTGTATAATTGAATCATTTCATGTGTCGGTGTTCTTATCAGCTTTTGGAAGGAAGCGCAACTCCTATCTAGTTTTCATTACTTTTTCAAAGGCAATACAACTCCTACTTGGTTTTCATTACTTTTCGAAGGCAACACAACTCCCAATTGGTTTTCATTACTTTTTCAAAAACAACACAATTTCTATCTGGTTTACATTCTAATTCTGTACTCTTTGTTACTCTTAAGACACCAACCATTTTATCTGCATTTTCTGTTAGCGATGGGTGTGGGAATGCTTTAAGGTTGTCTTGCTTGTGAATGAACATCCTCTCAAATGTACTTTCCTAAGTCTTAAATTAATCTAAGAGAGAAGATACCAATAGACTGTTACATATATGAAATAGAGTGCACCTTGATAATTAAATGAAAGTATTGTATCATCTTCAACAAACACCAGCTTTTTAAGTGACATTAACTTTTTTTGGCCTAATTCCAGGTTCACCTTCAAAGAGGCGCGCCAATGGTGACAATAATGTCAACTATATAACTCCAACAAAGAGATCACGTCATGGCAGGGTTCTCCACAAAAAAAAGGTTTTCACTCCATAATCTTTTATGCTATCTTATTTCTTACTCTGAAATTTTCATAATTTTTATTGGTTTTCATGTTTGTACTCTTAATTTTTCTTTTTTTATCACTGTATTTATTCTAATACACACTTGATATTTAATTCCGTACTGTTTGAAACTTTTAAATTTTGAGGCCCGCCAATCACTCTAATAAGGAGATCACGGCATAGCAGGGCTCTCCCTCCCCCAATTGAAAAAAAGGTTTTCACTCCATAATCTTTTATGTTATCTGAAATTTTAATTATTTTTTATTGCTTTTCATGTTTGTACTCTAAAATATTTTTTTTATCATTGTATTTATTCCAATACATACTTAATATTTAATTTTGTTGTTTTGAATAAAAGAACTAGATTCTTGAAATATTGCCAATGTAGAACATTTATTGAATACCTCGTTCCTCTGCTAGTCGTTAGAAGTGTTAATTAAGATGACTATAGATGAGAGGGTCCCACACCCTATCCTGTAAAGGCACAAGGTACTGTTGGTGCAAATAGTGTGACACGATGGGTAAATCATCAAAATGCAAATATGATTACTTGGTGCAATTAGTGTGACATATCTTATTCGGACCGTGGTGCAAATTGCTTAATTTTTACTATTTGCACCTGTTGGTCAGTTTTCATGGTGCAAATAGTGGTATCCTCTTTGTTTGCACCGCTGGTGCAAATTATGTAATTGTAACTATTTGTACCATGGTGCAAATAGTTACTTTCTTCGTACACACCGTTACCGTTCACCGTTCCTTAGCCTAGCTTTCTTTAGCACAAACAAACTTGTGTCCTTGTGTTTACTTGTGTTGTGACTCTTGTAGAGTAGAAGTTAACAGAGAGATTCATAAGCAGTCGTCGTCTTACCTGATCGTGTTTTTTTTTTTGTTACATAGTCGCTGGTTCCTTATCTTTGGAGTGGACCTCTCAACAGTGGACAGTTCGTTTTTATTGGAAGTATGTCTTTCAGTGTGCCCCAGTTAGCGAGTGTGGAGTTTGGAGTGAAGAGATTCCTACTTAACCCTGACCATTTCAACGAACCATGCCAACTATTTGACAAAATGACAGAAGATGTGGAAATAGGCGCAGCTGGAGTGTTCATTGTGAGTAACCATTTTTACACAGGCACAACGCATTATAGCTTATCTCGTTTTAAACGGGGCTGTTGATGAGTTAATGTAGGCAGTCTCCCTAGACCAGGTTAGGTTAAATTCCAGATAGAAATCCAAAGATACATGTATCCGAGCTTGGTAGGATAGAGATAATCAATCTAGAACCCTTCATCACCCATGTTAGGCCCTCTCTGTTGGTTACACTTCTTGTCATCGAGTAAACTACGTTTTCACATTTTCCATTAAGATAACTTTTACAAAATGAAGTCCTCTTATTTTGTGCGAATATTTCCATGGAAGGTAGCCATAATTAATCTTATTATTATTGAATCATGCAGTCGCATAACTCACTTGCAGTTGTTTAGAGATTGAGTAAAGTGTAGCCTCTGAAGTGTTCTATAATAGTGTTTCAGGTCTAACAGTTTGCTCTCTTCTGACTCTTTACAGGGGGAGTTGAGTCACTTACCACAACATTCGACAGAAGCTCAACTTCGCCAGGTCAACACAATTAAATCATTCATCATGGATGACAGAAATCATCAGGGTGCCAAACGACAGTTCATGCCAGTAGTGCAAGAGCGTTCCTGCCTGTGGGATGAATTTGGCTCACTGAACATTACTACTCAGGATCCAAAATAGTGCGTGGTCTACACTTTTGGATACTGCATTTTTGTGTCAAGCAATGCCACTTGGCAGGGGGGTACTTATGGACTAAAGAAAGGATTTGACCCGAAGAGGCATCGAAAATTTCCCT